TCTCTCTCTCTCTCTCTCCCTCTCTCTCTCTCTCTCTCTCTCTCTCTCTCTGTGTGTTTGTGTATACATGTCTGTATATGTGTGTGTGTGTGTGTGTGTGTGTTTGTGTGTGTGTGAGAGAGAGATTGTGCTCATGGCACTTTAGATCAATACAAATTTAAAAAACAAAATTTAAAAAATTGCTACAGTTTAATCAGAAATCATTATAAATATTTGACACTTCCTACTCTGGTTTAGGCCAACATCAACTTTTAAATGCCCTGGAGAATGGCTCTGAAGGGATGACAGATTTAATAGCAGGATGACTCTTTCCAGTATTTGGGTATCTTCAGTGGTGGGATTCATTTACCTTCGCTACTGCTTCGCAAATGTGAGCGCGATCACACATGCCTGTGCTCAGAAAGTCACACATTAAGTTGGGGCGGGTGGGCGCCCAAACTGGTAAGAACCGACTGCATACCACTTCTGGATATCTTGCTTTAAAGTGGTATAGTTCATGTTTAACTGAAACATTTGCATTATGAAGAAGCTCCAATACCCCAAGCTAACTACAAATTGCTATGAATTAGTATTCAGCTTGTAATAGAATTCTTTTGTCAGTTTTATAGCACCAAGGAGTCTGCATGAAGAATATTATTGCCTTTGTCTACTTCCTGCATCTTCCTCTTTATGCTGTACTCTCCTCAGTAATCCTATACCAAATACCATAATAAATTCTGCTTCCAATTCCCACTTTTCTTATCTGAAGAACATTTAATGCCCTAAGATTCTTTAATTATTCTACTGCTGATTTCTTTTGTCCCCTGTTTTCCTCCAATTTATTTTGACTAAAACTGATCAGCTAATAATATTAATGAATGTATTTTATTAAAATCTATGTTTAAAAGGTTTTTTTAGTTTAGCTATGAAGAGCTTAAATTGTTAATGAATGACAGTTGCTATCATGTAGAATTTATGTTCCATTTTAGGGAAGACACAATTATTTCTACATAGATTTTATTTCTTTTAACGAAAAAAATTCCTATAGATACATCAAGGAGTAGCATATGCATTTCAGGAAGGGAAGGAAAAGGAAAGAAAATGTGAATATGTTGTTTTAATTTCTTAAGAAATAGAAAATGAAAGATGGACAAAGTGTTGCCATTCAGATATTTTGAAGTGGAATCACAGGTTGTACAAGTATACAGTCAACTCACAATTGACAATCATACTCATAGCTCAGTAGGATAATATCTATATCTATATTTATATTTATATTGGTAGATTTTCATGGGTACCGATATGCAGGTCTTTGCGTATTCAAGTCTTTTCCCGTGTCGACAAGATACTCTCAATCTTACACAGGAAAAGACCCGAATACGCCAAGACCTGCATATATGTGTGTGTGCGTGTGCATACATTCATATATACAAATATATACATACATACACATACATATACATATATACATACATATANCAAAATTGAGAAATGGATCAATATTTAATGACATACTAAGTGCAGAACTCAGACTCTGCAGGGAAATGTCTCTAATGGAAGAAGAGACAGCCTTAGAGTACAAAGTCATTTATTTCAAGTAAAACTAAAATTAAACATTAGACTTGAATTTTGTAACAGTATCTGATCAAGTTATATTTATCATGTTATTTATTTTAATTATATTTCCAAATTTAAAGTAACTCATCCATCATTTTTAGAAAATCTGAATTAAGGTGATCAGAAGGAATTGAGTCTCCTTGGTCAGAAAAATGAAAGTAATATGATCCAAATCAGCAAGGGTAAGGTGCTGGAAGCAGAATTTTATATAATGTAATGGGGGTGGGGATATATAATAAACAAAAATTTGCTTTGGTTTTTTTGCTTACAGAAAGTTTATATAATATAGAAATTGAATGATGATTTTTGGGTAAATACTTTGGCCACCTAATGAGAAGGAAGGATTTGCTGGAGAAGAATGCTGGGAACGATTGAGAGCAAAAGAAGAATGGGACAACAGAGAATGAAGTGGCTGGATGAAGTCAATGAACCAGTCAGTGTGAGCTTAAATGGACACTGGGGGATGGTAGAGGACAGAAAGGCCTGGAGGAACATTGTCCAAGGGGTCACAATGGGTTGGACACGACTTTGCGACTAACAACAACAACCCATAATTATTTTCTAATTTTAATTAACCTGATTAAAAGTTTTACTTTTTAAAGCCGTGGTATGTTCTACAAATGATTAAATGTAGTAAGATTTTTTTTAAAAAAAACAGTCTTTTCAATCCTTAGGTGTATCAAATTCATCAACCTCATGGCCTTTTGAAAAAGATCAATTCTGTAATCCAAAAAATAACAGAACCCATTCAACCTAAAGTGGCAGAACATAAGCATCAGACAGTGAAACGACTTTCCTATCCTTTCTCAAGGGAGAAGCAACACTTGTAAGTTAAAGTTCATTCATTTTAGATAATGTCATTTACAACAGAATTGGCCTTTGGGAATAGCATTAGGCTCAAATATGTGAATATTAATAGAAATGTGTAGGCTTGTGTTTGAATACAATTTGCACTAAGTTTATCATTTTTTCCAAATAAACAGGATCTTGTCTAGCTCATGGAAGTTTTTTGTCATGATGAATTTCCTTAAGGATTTACAGAATAATCCTATACCCATGTGCAAATCAAATCCCACTGAGTTCAAGTGATGCCCCCAAGTAAACAGATATAGGATTCGAGTTTCAGGCTGTAGTCTGTCCTGACTGATTGGGAATAAGCCAACTGAATCCAATCAGGCTTACTTCTAAAGACATACATTAGCTTGATACACAAATAGTTAGATTCCCAAAGCTAAGACTAATAAAATAATGGTAGATATCTTATTCGGCTGTAGTAATTAGTAATTTTCTTTACTAAAAATCCATTGGTGTATATGCCACACTTTTCCAAAAGTGGTTCAAGAGAGAAATCATCCAAGCAGCATCACATTCTATGGCCAAGTCGATCTTGTAATCTCTTTACCACAAGCAGAACACAATACAAACCATGAGAAAAGCAACCTGTTAAAAGTTCATAAAAGTTGTAATACAAGGAAAAAACAGCACACAGTCAATTAAAGATTATGAACTTCTGCTGGGATACTAGTGAGCTTTTTTCTGCAGATGTTGGGCATTGTAAGAACTAACTGCTGAACTAGATGAGTCAGGGATCTGATCCAGCAGGACATATATTTATAGAATATTTTTATATTCTATTTTTAAAATATTTATATTCTAATTCTAATTATTTATATTTATATTCAAATTCAGTCTCCATGTGACAGTATTCAGTTTAGCAATGATTACAGGATATTTCTCAGTTGAATAAAGAATAGTTTATTTTTAGTTAATAGGAATGTATTTACACCGTATCCCCCTTAATGATTCTACTGTACATTTTTTTTCTTGAAAAGCAATGTTTTGATATGGTCATCAGCAAAGAGCCCTTTCAGAATTACAGGTTGAAGCAACAGGTCTGTATATTATCTAGAAAGCAGCAAGAATAGTTGAGATTGAACATAACATCATACATGCAATGTATTGGCTATATGTTAATACAGTAGCTGAAATGTTTGAACTCTTGAGGCTTCAAAAGAAGAGTAGCAACTTTCTGAAGCCTTTGTTGAAATGAAGTTTTGGCCAAACAATATGATTCTGTTGTATTTTGCTTTACATTTATTCAGGGTTTTTTTAATTTTTCCTTTTCCACTATTATCACAGGTTTGACCTCTCTGATAAAGACTTCTTTTTTGATAGCAAAACTAGAAGTACCATAGTAAGTATGTATTTATAAAATATTAGAGTGATGTGGTATTCCTCTTTAGCTGTTTTCATGATTTCTATATGAAATCATTATATGAAAATTCTGCATCAGAAGTGAATAATCTGACTCATGCATCTCTCCATCATATCTTAATTTTTAATGTGCTAGAAGAGAAACTCATGAAATATGCGAGTGTAAAGTATAAACTGTTAATTAAATGTAAATTTAATTTACATTTAATGTTAATTAAATGTAAATGAAATAAAATAAAATTGAGTTCTTGTCCCAGGCCACTATTCTTTTGAATTACGGCTCTCAATTCAGAAAACGTTTTGGCTTTGTCTTGTTCTTTAGCAGATTCGGGCTCCATTTTTTAAATGTATATTTTAGTTTATTGTACAAAACTAGAAAAAAGTTACATCAGTAATTAGGATAAATATACTTTGTAAACAGAGTAATCCATTCCTTCCTGTAGTGCAGGGGTGTCAAACTCACGTTGCCATGTAACATATTGTGACTTTTTCCCCTTCACTAAAATGGGTATGGGAATAGCCAGCACGTGATGTATCTGGCCCGCGAGCCACAAGTTTAACACTTTTGCTGTAGTGAAACAAAATGTATTTGAAGTTGTTTGGAACTGATACCAAACTTTTAGAAAGTACTGGGATCAGTGACAACATGGGGAGTAGGTTTCAAACCATTTTTATTGTGACAATAGAAAGGGTAAAGCACAGAGAGAGCAATAAAATAAGACCTAGGAGCACACACAAAAATTATAGAAAAGACCCCCAGGCTCTTTTGTGAAGTTCAGATTGTTCATTGAACCCTGCAAATTTTTATTATATAAAAATAGTTTAATCTACTTTAATTAATTGTACTATGAATAAAATAATAACAATAAAACAATAATAAATAGTGGCATCAACCCTTGGGGGATCAGTATTGACCAGTTGGGGAACTCTGGTTCAAGGGGACATAAAACATAATGTAGAACAGACCTTTGAAAATAGGATAAAGTAAAAATGCTAGATAATAAGACACTCTCATAGCAGATTAAGGGTATCTGAGACTAAGTTGTAAGACTGGAATCTAAGACTAAGTCAGAAGTAATCATATAGTTAATTTTGAGCAGCATATAGATGATGCTCAAGTTTGAGCAACATATAGTTAATTTTGAGCTCTATGTTGTGGCAAGAAAGAGTAGTAAAATTGCTTGTAGTTTGGATGATGTTGATAAACATTTCTATGTAATACAAAAATTGGAGAAGGACATGGTCTCTTGTTTCTACATGCCCAGAGTCACAAGGGAATTGCCATTCTGAGAAAGGAAGGGGGGAGTGTTTATATCTGCTTCAAGCATGGCTAAGGGGAGAGTATAACACTCTGGTAAAGTAAAGGCTGTTCTTTGCTTTGGGATTTCCAGGTATGTAGCTCTGCGGGAGACAAAATATTTGAGACTTTTGCTGATGAAGTACTTTGGGGCCTGGCTAAGTCAGACTGTTGTTTAATGACAGTTTCAGGCAGACCGTAGACCTTAATTAACAACCACTTGTTTGAAGTTTCAATAGAACTGAATGAGTGATTGGTGATTGGTCCTCAAAGATTTGGCCATCACAGTATCCTCACAATCACGTGATTGTGATTCAGACACTTGGCAACCAGTTCACACTTACAATGGTTGCAGCACCCCATTCTCAAATGATTCCAACTTCTCTGGCAGCCTTCTACAAGCAAAGTCAAAGGGGAAGCTGATAGGGAAGGTTACTCCTGCTTTTTCTCCCATGGAGTCCTCCTATGGAGTACAAGATTCCACAGATCTTGTACAATGTACTGTGTAGTGAGCTTGTGCCCCAACATCTGCAGACGTTTGTGCGGCATTGCAGCAACCTCTCTCCAGTCCAAATGCACTTGCAGGAACACCCCTTGTCTCAGTCTAGTAGTCACCCACCCTCCACCTGCATGTGAGCTGCCCAAGACTTGCAACTTCCAGCCACCTTTTTCATTTTTTTTATTAGTTTGGTGCAGTGGTAGTCAACCTGGTCCCTACCACCCACTAGTGAGCGTTCCAGCTTTCATGGTGGGCGGTAGGGGTTTGCTGTA